GATTTGTCTCCCCGGGCGCTTTCCAAACCTTAGGTTTAGAAAAAAAAAAAAAACCAATTATTCAGAAATTCACATACCGCTCCTTAAAGCAGCTCTGTCAGCTCACAAAAATGTTTTTTGAGTTTTCATCGTGAAATACTCACATTGACTGTGTTGGATTTTTTTATTTCTTGTGGCTAAAGGGCGATACATGAAGGCTGATGTATTATGGGTTCACAGGTCAACCATCAATGCTGAACGTGCGGTTTACGTGATATTTGTAATTTATCGTCATTTCAGTTTTATTTGAATCTCAGACAGAAATCAGTCATGTACAGTTTTTATACAGTGATGCCAAGTCCGCACCCTTCACTGATTCTTCAATGATGGGAACGGAACCAGGTTTACGTGTTCTTTGATCATCACGTTTCACATGTACTGTATTTCTTTGAAAACACATTAGTTCCACTGTGTTAAGAGCAAATTACTCATCGGTTTCTAAATTAAATCTGGGTGCATGGGATCACCTGCGCCACGTTTGTCCGATGTGTGTATTCGAATTCAGACTTTCCCAATCGCATCTTCTCACCCAAATAGTCTGTCATTGTTAGCAGGAGAAGAGCTGATGTTTTCCTCCACAACTAACACATAGCCCCTGTAGCGGAACGCCAATAATAAATCCACGAATTCCACTGGTTCAGAAACGAATCCACAGTCAAGCGCTGAAAACCACAAGGCAATATCCCCAACCTCCCAGTAACCGGACGAGACACAGTTCTGAGAGTCAACTGAACTCCTTTTAATCGGCTGGACAATTTATACAAGTCCCCATGCAAGGGGTTTCCTGAGTCCCTTCACAGGGGCACTCCCAGAGGGGACTACATGGGGGACTTACATTACAACATATTTCTCCCATCAGGCACCGCTGCACGAGAGGGATCATCTTCCCAGAATGCACCGTTAAGTGGATTATCCCCTCGTGCAGCAGAACCGACAATTTACACAAAAATCCATAACTTGTTGAATATATGGTGGATTTACACGAATGGACGTTCGGTAGATAGCTGGGGTCTGAGCGCATCATTCGTGAGATTACCGCTCAGATCCCAGCTGAAATAACCGAACGCCGCACTAAAGACAGATTTCTGATAAAACATATGAAAAGAACCGATTGCTTGCAGGGAACAAAATACCGAACGTCCCGAAACTCCCGAACGTCCTGGAGGCTCAGCGGTGTTCGTGCCGTCGCATAGCCGTTTTTAGTACCATGCGTTCGACGACATAGCACCGCTGAGGGAACAAAGGATCCAAGATGGCCGACCGCCGCATGGTCGGTAGTCGAACGACGGCCACCCAGGAGAGCCTCTAATTACCGATTGCAACATTGTTGCAATCGGTTAACTAGCGCCACACGACTCTAAGTGTGTGGGCTATTAGGGAGTATTGCGTTCGGTTCACGAACGGCCCTCCAAAGTGCCGTTCGTGAAACGAAAGAAAACCCCCATACAAAACCGCCATTTGCATTCGGTAAAAAGGCAATACAAACATACATAACGCATATACATATAGAATGTAGCACATATCTCTCTAGACATACAGGCAACCCTTAAAGGCACAGTCTCTTTACATTGTCCAAGTGGCTAGGTTTGCCACAGCCCCCAATATTGGCATTCACTGAATCAGGATGCGTGCGTGGGGTAAAAGGTTGAGGGCTAGTGACGCATATTTTGTCACTGGTGCCACCCAAAGGAGGCAGACCCTCCCATAATGACGATGGATCCATCTGAATTACTGGCAGGCCAGCTTGCTATGAATGCACGCCAGGCTGCCTACCAATCACACAGGCCGACATACTTTTTCAGCACTCTCTGCAATGTCCTATGTTCTCAGAGTAACATGAGAGCATCTCATGATGTGCTCATGCTACGCTTTTTGGGAACCCAGGAAAGAGGGACAGGATCCTAAAATCGGGACTGTTCCACTGAAATCATGACGATTGGGATGCTTGTTAAAAGAACACTCCAGACACACATTTTTGCACTTCAGGTTGCTAAAGTGCTTTATTTGACTGGAGTCTGTCATTATCGTGTCACTCTATAAATTTGCCAATTTCAATAGAAATTGTCACTTTTATAACTGGGGACAGAAACACATACCTGGCAGTCAATCAGACATTAACAATCAGACACTGACAGTCAGACATTAACAATGAGCCACCGACAGTCAGACATTAACAATGAGCCACTGAAATTTAGACATTAACAATCAGACACTGACATTTAGACTTTAACAATCAGCCACTGACAGACATTAACAATCAGCCACTAACATGTAGACATTAACAAGCAGAGCTCCACAGCAATAATACTCCCAGTAATGTGTCTGAGTGTATAACAGAGCTCCACAGCAATAATACTCCCAGTAATGTGTCTGAGTGTATAACAGAGCTCCACCGCAATAATACTACCAGTAATGTGTCTGAGTGTATAGCAGAGCTACACAGTAATAATACTCCCAGTAATGTGTCTGAGTGTATAGCAGAACTCCACAGCAATAATACTCCCAGTAATGTGTCTGAGTGTATAGCAGAGCTCTACAGCAATAATACTCCCAGTAATGTGTCTGAGTGTATAACAGAGCTCCACAGCAATAATACTCCCAGTAATGTGTCTGAGTGTATAACAGAGCTCCACAGCAATAATACTCCCAGTAATGTGTCTGTGTGTATAACAGAGCCAGACTGTGGATACAAATCAGCCCTGGAAAAAAAATCTCTGCCAGACCCATAAGTAATTGTGCCATGTATTGTCACATGTAATACGTATGGCCATGTCTTGCCACATATATATTGTGTTGTGTTTATATATTACTGTATACTATACTATATATATTGTGTTGTGTTTATATATTACTCAATCATCTGTGATGGCAAGACATAGCCTTACATAATATCATACTATTGGTTAATATATTTCTTTTTCTAATCTAAAATATTGGTCCTTTCAGAGTAAAGCGTTTAATTATACAGTAAGCATACGCACATGCAGACACAGACAATCTCACTGACACACACAAGCTCATTGATACACAGCCTCATAGACAAACAATCTCACTGATATACATAAGCTCACTGACATTAAAAACACA